AAAAAGAGAAAAGTAAAAAGGACATAGAAACCGAAAAAAAAAATATGCATAGAAAATAGACATAGAAAAAAAATAGTAGTTAGGTGAATTCTTCTTTTTTCTTTTCGTTCCTATCTTAGAAAGAAATGGAAGAGAATACATAATTAACTTATGACTTTTTTTCTTTTCTGCTTCTTGCTCAAAAAAAAAAAGAATATTGGACCATTTTATTTTCATTTCAAATGTTGTTTAATGGTTGAATGAACGAAATATTAAAATAACTGTTACATATACAATAACAAAATTAGTGAATTTAATTATGAAATTTAAATTAAAGATTTGTGTAAAAGGAACTTATAAAGATTTAACTTGAAAATCTGTGATAGATCAAGTGTAGTCTACTATAGTCTAATCTTAGTCTGATGGATGACAAGACTTATACTTTTGCAAATACTGATTTATACTCAAATTAGGCCCTGTCATACAAATTTCACCCATTGTACAGAAAATTTCATGACGAATTGTCTAGTTTTATCGATGTTGAGATTTATAGTTTTGCAAAGACGACATCATGAACACGTTAATCCTGGTTGCACGAATTTAATCCGTTTTACACCACATTATATGATAAATTATCTAATTTAATGCATGAAAAGACTTATATTTTCGAAAAAGAAAAAATTATGCACTAGATAATTATGGTTACTCTAGTTTTTAGCCATTGTACAGTACATTATATGATAAATTATCTGGTTTATTGATGTCTTTATCTTGTGCATTTTTGAAAAAGGCAAAATCATGCACAAAGTAATTCCAGTTGCACAAATTTAACCCTCCTTCACTGACATATATCGAATAGATAAAATCATGCGCAAGATAATTGCGGTTGCACTAGTTTTTAGCCCTTTTACGGTACACTATGTGATAAATTATCTAGTTTAATGGATATAATTATCTTGTGCATTTTTGAAAAAGGCAAAATCATGCACAAATTAATCCCAGTTGCACAAACTTAACCCTCCTTTTCTGACAATATATACAAATAGATAGTGAGACATATATTTGTACAAAGAATAAATAAAGCACGCATTAGTCTCAGTTGTACTTTACAGCCCATTTTATGACATATTTTCAAGTTTAATAAGTCTTATCAAAACTATTAGAAAAATCAAAATCTTGCAGAACTTAATCTCGGTTGCAGCAAAGTTGCCCCATTTTACAATACATTTTTATTGCCACTATTTTATTTGCCTTATAAAAATCTATTCTTTAGTTTATGCCTGCTATTTTATATAATTAAAAACAAAGCTTTTCTTTCTTTTCAACCTGCTTCATCTCATCAAAAATTAAGATTAAATAAAGGAAGATTCACCACGTGCAAAATTCCTCACCATACTCATAAAAGCGATTGACAGGCTTCTCATTCCCCCATAACATCCATAAGACATCCTGCTGAGCTCCACAAGACATCCAGAAGGAACACGGGCAATTGCCAGGCAACTAATAGCTCCTTTTTCCAAATTAGTGTAGACACGGTGGCATGAAATTAAGAGCTTATACTATTTTTATTATCTTCACAGTTAATGTTAGAAAATACACGAGGTACCCTGGTGTTCCAGGTATGCAATTCGAACTTCTTTTTCTTCTTCTACCTGGAACAGGTGTCGAATCTCTTAAATAAAAACCCGTCGTTGCTTCTCTCAAAAAAAAAGAATTAGAATCCTCGTTGAGGGTGTTCTGATGCATTCTTAGCACGTGCGTGAATTGAAGAAGAAGAGGGGGGTCTTTCGAATGATGGAGCCATTCTATTACTCTGGAAAACTGGACAAATTTACGACGAATAATTGTGGGATATCCTACTGTTTCTTTCTTGATCGTTCACCGTAGTTAAAATTCGTTTCTTTTCTCTCCTTCAACTCGTATAGTAATTTCAGTTTTTTATGTATAAATTTATTTAGTTATTTCATTTATTATTTTATTTTTACTAAATCATTCTTTGTACGCGTAAGTGCCATATCAGGCGATTCTTCTCTTTTGGCTCCTCTACCGACCGATTTCAATTGTCAAAGGGGTGGAAAAATACTAAATATGCTTTTAATGAAATAAGTTGACTATTTTTAACCATAATTTTTGCGTTTTCTTGGAACTACTCATTTCGACATAATATATATGGGAAAAGGCAATGAGCATAACTTAATTAACAAATATTTATTAACATATAGCACATAATACAGGACGCTTAACATATAAGAAAAGGCTGTCTGCTTCGTCAGCTTCCAATCACATTCGCTGCGCGCGAAGAATCAGAAGAATGACAATCTAACCACTGTTTAGTTAAAGGGTTAGGATGTGCGCAATGGGATGCGTGATGAGGTGCGCAATGATGTGCGCGCGCATAAAGTGTGGAATACACTTCCTACATATATAATTAAGTAGCTAGCTAAAAAACAAGGTTTCGTAAATGTTAATTCTTGAATTGTTTTTTAATTGCAACTTCAGATTATTTTTAGTCGTGCTTTTTCTTAACATGGTATATTATCTTAAAATTGAATATATTTATTACATATTCCTATAATAACTTTTAACTTTCTTTTATTAATTAACCGATAATGTTCTTGAACGAAGAAAGAGCTGCACAACGGGCTATTGTCGATGGTCTGGGAAACAGAACTGCCGAAAGATCCGAAGACACGCCAATACGATTTTGATTCTCTGCAGCGGGGATGGCACTCATTTGGTAGCCCGACGGCCTAACGCGAAGTAGAGCTCTTCAGGTTAGAACAGTTTAACAGCGCACCCTCGATCCCTATTTAGGGTGATCAAAGTAGTTCACCACCCGCTTACAGACAGCAGCCAGTGATGCTTGACTTAGGTGCTCTATTGAGAACCGTGTCTATACGATCAGTCCACTGCGGGACTTAACGCAGAAAACGAAACAGGTGTTTGATGCTGTATTTCATAACCATAATTTATTAAAATGCGAAATCTATGCTTATTTTATTTTAAATTAATACAAAATTATGAATTATGAACAACGTGCTTACTAAAAATTCTGCTCTAAAGAGCTTAACACATAACCTTGGTCAACCTTTGAAGCATCTTTTTATTTTCATGCATTTTATGTCCCGTAGTGGATCGTAAAGACACGGTTCCCAGTTGGAACTCCGAAGACAAGCATTACTGTCTGCGGTCAGTACGAGGGTGGGTGACCACTCTGATCAGCCTGCGTAAGGACGAGTGCGTGTGGTATCGTTCCTCGCTAAACTGTTCTCCGGTAAAGTGATCTACTTGGTAGAACACTTTACCGGAGTTACCAAGGTAGGGAAGCCATCCCTTCTGCAGAGGATCAAAATTGTGATGGCAGGTCTCCGGATCATCCTCAGAGATGCTTCCCAGACCGTCGCCAATAGCCAATTGTGCAACTATAATGCGGAGTAAACAAAGTACCTACCTACCTATTGAGAGTTCGAGGGTTCGTCCGCCGGCCGAAGACTCCCCGTGTAGTAAAGTGACTGATGCACGTTAAACCTGCGAGTCGCAAAAGTCCTTCATGTTCCCATAACAAATCAATACCTCTGGGGGTACTAGATTGGAGATCGATCGTTCTCTGATTCAGGTCAAAATTACGATTTGTGGATGTATGAATGGGTCTGTCCTATAAACGGGTGTGGCGTATGGTGTGTCAGAAGTTGAATTCTTGGCCATAGATGGCACCACTGAAAAACAATAAACGCGCACTCTGCCTTAAATTTGCTCGGTTTCACCAAGCTGGCTTGCCCGTGTGGCAGTATTAAGGAGATCTTAATCTCTAGTGCATTGTTCCTTTTCTTTTCTTTTTTTCTTCTAATTTTTTGATTACATTAATATCCAACAAAATTAAAGGTCTATGAAAAAGATTAAAACAGAACTGTCTAGCTGTTATCTGAACAGACTACAACCACAAATTCATATGGTCATTACTTTTGAAATTAATTACGAAAATATTTCAAATAGGTTTTAGACCAAATTTTTTTTAGAATTTTTCAAGCATTTAAATTTTTATGCGTCAAAGTTACTCTCAACGGCATTAGGAATTTTTGGAAATTTTAAGTTCAGAGGAAAATTTAGAAAGTTAAAAATTTCGATCAAAAACATGTTTCATATAAACTTCGAAGAATCTGTGTTTCTAAATTTGTCAGTCTATCACGAGACACAAATGCGAGTTTAGTCTCTGTCTAACTAAAGTCTTAGAAAGATTTCTTAAAAATATACCGTTTCATAATTAAGAACACTTTAAGACGTTTGATATTGAGAAATTTTAAGACTTCTAATTTTTTTAAAATTTAATATAGTTGTTACAGATGTTTTTAACATGTGTTAATAATTTTGATGAATTCAAAAAGGAGTTGATAATGCGGAATTTTTTAATTTTCATAAAATATTTTATTAAACCAATATTATGTAACGTTTTGTATTGCAATCAGATCAAAAACTTTCAAAATTTACAAAAGACTATACATCAGGGAATTTTTCTATTTTTGTTGAATTTTCTGGCATATTTATTGACATTGGATATTTGCAAGTCTAGATGAAGCAATTATATCCAACAATGGGATTTAAATCTAATTTAATTGGATAACTATATGCAGCGTCATTCGTATCTTTCGAACCTGATTGATTGGCTTCTGAATCAACAAATGCCACAATTTGTTTAAGATGACGTCACTGGTATAGTTTGTCTACGGTAAGAACTCCCCCCGCCACAAAGGCTGAGGCCGTCTGCTGCCATGGAAACAAGAATAGCGCATTTCAGGGAGGGTAGCTTCTCTTCTCTCTAGGGCTAACACAATAGATCGAAGAAAAAGATTCAGTTTTTTCACCGACTCCACACCACGACTTGAAATGGTTATACCTCGTTATCATAGTTACTGCCATGGGTTCAGACGAATGGCAAGGAGAGTTCTTACTGTAGACAAACTATAGGTATCCACTTGGAGTTTAAATATTGAGAATATTATATATTACAGTTTTTGTTCTTGTAGGTATCTAAGAGAAGTTGAATCTTCAAGTGTGTTCTACAAGGAAACTTCAAGTCATTCCTATCTACAGCCTTTAAAGACTACGCTATTCTTGGAGCAGAATCTTAAATGTGAGTTTACAGGGTAGTTTACAGCTCTCCGAAGATGCGCTATGACGTCACCTGTTATCATAGGCTACACAATAAGTTACTTTATGCTTTGAAATGGACAAACTTTTTAAATTTACTAGATATTTAGGACTTTTTGTTGCTTTTCAGTTTAATTTGTTTACAATGAGTCAAATTATCATTTCACTTTTATACTTACTAGCAATTTATATAACTTTTTAAATTAGAGATTTTTGGTTGGACAGTGATGAAACACAAGAGGCGTAACAATTTTATGTAAATTAACATTTTTTAAATTCTTAAACTTTAATTTATTAATTCGATTTCCTACTTTTTTATTTTAAGCTTTTTCGCCAAATGGATGTCAAGCGCGAACGAATATCAGCATGGCCAACTCTTGAAGCGACGTTGCACAAACTTTTTGCTTGCTTTCTGAAATAGTGTGAAATGAGGTAAATGAAACTTATTGTTTGTTAATAAGAATATTGTTTGTTATTAAATATTAATAAAAATCATGTCTAAAAATTGTAACAAATATACGTCTTTGTTTGCTTTTAAAGAAACTGATGAACGAATGATGAATTCCTTCTTGCAAGCGATTTTCTTCTACAGCTCTACAAAAGTAAAAAAATAAGTAGCATAAGACGTGTTATTTTTAGTGGTCCAATCAAATCCAATGTTTCGCTTCATAGTTTCTTTTTCCAAAAGTGAATGTTTTCCTTATTTATCGAAATAGGTCACAAAGTCTAGGATTCCAGTAAAACTGTAATCCTTTTTTTAATTATGACACGTATCGTAAGATAGCACGGATTAAATTTCTGCTAGACGAGTTTTACTTTTAAAAGCTTTTTATATTGGGTTGAAAGCATATTTATGTAATGACTAAATAAAACTGAACTATATGAAGTTGCGGATAAATACTTAAATCCCATATCGCAATGGTCTTAACTTGCAACAGAGTATAGAAGACCGGTCCTAAAGCCAGCGACAGCTTCCGATGTGAACACTCGGTGAAATTTGTTTTGAAAGTGTTGACCTCTTGACCTTACTTTCGTTTAACTTTTATTTATCCTTACTACTCGGAAAAAACCTAAGCAAAGGATTGTTTGATAGCGATCGTGTATAGTTTGTCAAAAATAAGAACTCCTCCAGACTTTCGTTTGAACCTGTGGCGGTGACTATGGTATCGAGGTATGACTATTTCAAGTCGGGGTGCGGGGTCACTGTTTTATACCGACCCATACACCACAACATCTTTGTCCATATTGTGATTAACTTACTTGGTAATGAAGAATCTTGCCTGCAGGGCACTATGATGCACATGTAGCAATATCTAATTTCTTGGGAAACCATAAGGAAATTGTACAAAATTATGGTATTAAAACAGTTATCATTTTGTCCTTCAAGTTTGAAATTTTCTTTCATTGAGATTAAAAAAGCTTCACTGTTTATGAATAACGCAGTTTTGAATTTAATTTCAACGGAAAATAACTTTAATGCTCTAAATATATTACATTTGGAATGTCAATTGAATTGTACATTTTTATATTGAAGGATGATGTTGCTGGAATTAATTCACCGGAACTAGTTTTCACCCACAACAGGTAAGTGTGAATTGGAAGTCTCAAAACACCGTGACGAGTGTGAGGCGTAAAATTAAATGGTCAAAAATTAAAGTGGTAGACTGCCTTTCTGCTTTCTCTTTATTGCCCTTCACACTCGTTTCAGAACTTTTCGATTCAGACTTGCAAGGTTCTGTTGTGGAATAATGTTCTCGTACTACAATAGAAAACTTCCGTTAAATTATTGTGTATACAAACTTTCTACCAGAGTTGGCCGTTGATTACAGTAATCGATTACAACTGTAATTGTTTACAGATAATTACAGCTATGTAATCAATTACTTGTAATCACGATTACAAGTAATCAATTACTTGTAATCGTATGTATTTGTATAAAAATANAATTAATTCACCGGAACTAGTTTTCACCCACAACATGGAAGTGTGAATTGGAAGTCTCAAAACACCGTGACGAGTATGAGGCGCAAAATTAAATGGTCAAAAATTAAAGTGGTAGACTGCCTTTCTGCTTTCTCTTTATTGCCCTTCACACTCGTTTCAGAACTTTTCGATTCAGACTTGCAAGGTTCTGTTGTGGAATAATGTTCTCGTACTACAATAGAAAGCTTCCGTTAAATTATTGTGTATACAAACTTTCAACCGATAGAGATTTCTATAAATCATTCCTTTTGGTTCTTGTTCTTTTGGCCTTTAACAATAAAGCTACCACGGTTGATCACACTATTCGAAACTTAAGAGTAAATTAGAAGTTAGAACAGGCCTTATTCTTGGTTCGGAATATTAAGCAGTCTAGATTCGCTTATTTTTTGCTACTTTCGATAGCTAACAGATATGAAAAATGTCTCCATTAGTTGCATTCAAAAGTTTGCCCATATTTAACTTTAGAGTTCTATTATTGAAGTTACTAAGTTGGAGGATTTTTATATTAAAAGAAAAAGAGAACCATGCATCCATTATGTGGATAGATTGTTTATCGACGGTAATAAATTTGCGGGTAGATGGCTAATCACACTGGTTATATAGGTAAGAAGGGACAAAAAAATTTCTTCCGTATATTTCGAATTCGATACTTAACATCATTTCGTATGTTTTCATGCGTACTCGAAATACTTTAATCGAAGTGGTATTCGTAAAGATGTTGTCCTTATATTGAAATAGCATTTCCATACAAAAGTACTATGGGTATTGGTTTTAGATGGAAGGTAGTTCTAATAATTCAAACTAGTAAATTGAGAAATGCAGAATTTCCAAAGTCGAAATCAAAACGTCGAAAGGAAAATTGCCTATATTTTCTATAAATTAAGTTTCAATATATAAAGCAGTTTCTGTGTAATCTCAAGGCTTGATTTCAAACAAATTCTGCATTTTAATTTTCAATAAGATTTACTTAACAATTGCAGAATGTTGTACTTTTCCGATTTTATTTAATGTTATATTTGTAAAGAAATATGAATTCCAAAAGAAGCAAAGAACTGAAATCAATGTATAATAGCTAGCAGTGAGCACGTATTGTAATTGCATTTCATACGTGTTAGTTTTCGGAAACTGATCAAAAATATTCTGTGCCCCCCTTTAAATATGGGTTCATTTCTTTAAGTTAAGAAGTTTTCAGACTAAGTTATTCAGCTCAAAATAAGAATGAAAATACCTGTCTATAAAGAGTTCAGTCAGAGGTAAACTGTCCCTTTCATATGTCTTCTGTGGCATCAAAATTCGGGGTATTCATTCAAATTGTCAACAACGATAGAACAATGGCCAACTGTACTGTTTCTCATGGTACATTCGTATTTACAACAAGTAGAGAATTCAGTTTTTTAACTGGCGTGTCTGTGATATCTTAGACTAGTTTTATGTAAACTATGTATTAAGATCTAAATTCAGTTTCAAAAAATTACTATAAAAAAAATTCTCTGCTTTGAGGTTCTGATGATAATATTTTTTATAATAAAACTAAGATTGTTCTATACAGCTTTTGCGTTCGATAATAAATTTGACTTATACTGAAAATAACTGGAAATTTTAAAACTTGTCTCTTAACGCTATTAAGAAACTTCAAATTGCATTAAAAACGTTTCATTACAAACGCTCATTTTATTTGACTTTTAAAGTGATCAAACTACTCGGATTTGATACGATACTGATATGTTACACAATGAAACGATACTGATATGTTACCCAAATGCACATCATTTAATGAGTAACAGTGTTATTGGATCTGTTATTTGAACACACTCCATTCAATGAGAAACGTTGATCAAGATATAGAATTTATTACTTGAGCACTCAATCAATAAAAAAAAAGTGGTAAAAGATATGTCACTTAAATAAATTTTGCTCAAGAAATTTCACTTTTTATCTATGCGTATCTTCTAAACTAAATTAGCCAAATCAAAAGAAAACTGACAAAATATCCCACAATGACTTTCAGCAGGCATTTGTAACAAATATTTTGCATCGTAGTGTTAACGTGTTTCTATTAGCTGTATAAAGTCTAGAAATATTAAAAAAATAATTGTCTAGCAAAAGCATGAATAAAAGTAAAAATCTAAAAAATAACGGGCTAGCATGGATAAAATAAAATAAACACATAAAGAGATAAACAATGAAATAAAAAGCAGACGATAAAATTAGAAGACCGTTTTAGAACAACAGAGAGTTGGTTTTTTTAGAGATTAGTTTCGTTTTGGAATTTGAGTTTCCTATATATCCCGTTACTGGTTTTTCTAGTTGTTTTATAATATTTTCACTGTCCCGTTACGGGTACTTCATATTTGTTACTGTTTGTGGTGTTTGTGAATAAAATTTTTTCATGAGAAACTGAACTGTTATTTATATAGCTTATGATACGTTACAGCAGTTACGACCCATTTATAATAACAGCCTAGAACAAACTTTTTTTGCCATACTTTTCATATCCCAACATGGTTTTGAATTAGGTTAGATTTACTACAGCCAAATACCATTACCAAATTTTATCAATATAAGAAATGATTAGAAGACCATTTGACATTTAATGACCCTAAAATGCAAAAGTTTCATAGCTACATTGATCGACATATTTTACTTTTCGCTATTCGAAACCTATATTTTATTTTTATTTTTGGCAACCCTTAGAAGTGAGATTGTTCGAAGGTACCCTACTGTTCTAAAGGAGAGAATTTTCCTGTTGCCACTACATAGCATGTAGGTCGGGTGCCGTAAAGTTCCCAGCAAGGGCACACCAGAATAAAAATTAGGATTTCAACTTGGAATGGGATACAATTTCCAAGATTGAGGTCTATGGATGAGCCACGCTGGGAGGTATGAATGCTAGTGTTTGTCTTCATTTGGAATTTATATGGTGAGGTATGTACTCGGCTGGTGATGGTGAATGCAATAAAAAGAATTTTTTTTTCTTCTAGAAAATAAATCTGAATTAAAATTGCTTTTCAATTCTATTGCTGCGGTAAAAGTTTTGAATTGTTATATGAATCATTCTTGAAGAATGTTTGAAATTTTTTTGTTTTAAATATACTTCTGTTCATTTATTTCAATATATTATTGTTTATACAGCTTTTCTAGGGAACACATAACGTAAACATTGAAGAAATATAATTGTTTAGTCAAGTATAGAGACGGGTTTCATTAAATTTATCATACAAAACAGAATTTTGTCTTTCCTTAATCAAAAGTCACACCCTTTCGATGCGATTATTACCTCTCAACATCAGGTGGTATTAATGGTTAGTTTGTCAAAAATTTCGAATGTTATAATTGAATTGAATAACTTCCTACATAGAATTTACATGTAATATTAGGGGGACTAGGATAGGAAGTCATTTCGTTTCGGTGTATTAAATATTCGTTTGTCTTAAAAACAAATTCTTTTTTTTCCCGATCCATTTCGATTCATTTTCGATCCGACATTAAAAGGTTGTTGATAACGAGGGTGAATACATCATTGATTAAAATTAAAATCATGATATCAAATGCACCGAAAAGACATTACTTTCCGGTCCACCTAATATTTATAAATTTGATGCACTTGTCCAAATGATTTAATTCATGCCATGTGTATTTTCTAATTATATGATGACGCTTTGCTCAGAAATTTTTTCATTTTTGCACAACTTGCAGAAAGTTATTTTTACCCATTTTACGATTGATGCTTAAATTAAAACTGAAAGCAAGCACTTTTGAAAGTAACAATAACTACGTGCTTTGTACTACATTTTTCGAGCTTCGAATAAATAATAATAATAATAATGGAAAACAGAGTATTGTATTGAAATAACGGAACGATATGTGTGAACACTCATAGTCAATAATAAGCAATCTTCACAGAGATTGGTTTTGAAAGAAATTGTGTAAGAGATTTATGAGATTGTCTTAAAAGAGATTGTAGAGAAATCTCGATAGAGACTGGAGCTGTCATATAATCTACATTCTTTTTGATGATTAAGGCTATTGTAATGACTCAGGTTTTAATATTTTTCTACCGGTAATTTTACATCTTACCTTTTAGTTCTAGATAGAGTTTCGAAATTTTGTAAATAGATGGATTATATGAATACTTACAAGTTTTAGCACTTCAATGAGAAAAATATGTTAAAAAGTCTCATGGCTGCAAATTAATTTAATTTAATAAAAAAAAAATAATCTTCATAGAATTTGTACTACTAATATAAAATTTTTTTAGAATCTACAAATTTATATATAAATGTGTTTTATATATATTATATAAATATATATTTTTTATGTATTTTTTATATAATTTACATATATTTTTTGTAGTACTACTTTAGGTATATCTCTACTAAGCTTGTTAATCTTACTAAAGCTACATTTAGTAACGTAAAATGCAGGATCAACTATCAGAACCTTTTTCAGCAAAGACAGATTTGCACTAAGGGGAATACCTCGCTTAGTTGCTTTTAAATTGAGCATTGGAAAAATGTAAACAAGAGAGAGTGGATTAAACCGAAGGGGCACTCTGTGGGATGCATCGATTTGGTGACTAACGTATGCCGATGACATAGATATCATTGGAATTGAAAGCGAGATCAGAAAGAACTGTGAGAGAGACCATGCGAATTCTTGAAACTTCTAC